GTACATTCTTATTTAAAAACTACTAGAAACTCAGTGCAGGATCCCAGTATAGGCTGGCATTATAACTGCCATGCTTTTATTTGTTATCTTGTTTCTGTGGCCTGTTGTAAACCCTAGGCCTGAGCTTGCAGAAATACCAGGGGTTTTATATGGCAGTGGTCCAAGCAGAGTTGTGGAGATGCCTGACAGACTATCTAAACATGCAGAACAACACAGAAACTGTTATATTTTGTTGAACAAATTAAGTGCAGTGGATTTCAGCACCTATTATCCAGTACAACACTGCTGATTCTGACAGCAGTAAAGCAATGGAAATGCATATTTTACTGGCAGTTAAAACATATCCATCTGAAATCATCCTCCCTACCATCCTCACCTGATAGGCAGTTCTAGTTTGTAAGGGCCTGATTTTCCTAATTTATGCCACCGTGGTTCAGTCCAATGCAGTCACGGTATCACTGTTCACTGCCTGACTGGAATCCAGATGAAGCAGGAGACACTGAGTTAAGGTTTCCTGAGCTGTCTGCAGCTATACTGTTGTGCCAAGAAGCTCATGCACAACTTTCAAATCCTGACACTACCCAGCTCTGAGTAAAGGACAAACTAAAATATTTATAGTCTGAAGAGCCCTTTGTTTTACATAGAGTAAACTTCCCCTTTTCTGTTTAATAATTTTTTAATCAATTTTTGTATTATAAAAGGAAGGTAAAATATAGTAAGTAATGCCATTGTCATCCAAGAAAATATGGTCAACAAAATGCAATGCAACATGAAAGAGGTAAATAACTCTGCATCAAAGTACAGGGGATAAAATCCATCAGTTATAAGAAGAGACATGTCTTCATGCTCAATCAACAACTGAATTTCAAACATAATAGCTAAACAGTGTGATCTAGTGGACTAGAAAGACAATTCAGGATGGAACTGAAACTCCAGAATATTAATCCAAACTTTACTGCTGATCCTCATTTTAGCCTTTGGCAAATCCCTTAACCCAGTGTCCAAGTTTTCTTATGCTTGAAACTTGGAAAGTGTTACATACCATCTCACTGGATGTGATGAGAATTAATATTTTTTAAGACTCTTGAAAATTAAAAGCACTGGAAAATTAGCATTTACAGAAACCGTGTTGGGAAAGACGATTATTAGAATAGATGTCTTTATCCGGCAAGATTGTTTGGGTCAGGAAAATCCATTGTGCCATTGAAAACCCAATGAAAATAATAATTATGTTGCACTTCCTATGAGAAGGACAAGTAATTTTCCATGATTTGCATTTAAAATCTGGAAGTATCAAAGATTTTATTAGTGCTGTATTACAGTAGGACTTCAATAATTCACATTAATGACTAGAAGACCTATTGTGTATTAGCTGGCAAATTAATGAGTAAGCAAACAAAACAATTACAAGAAAACATCAAGGTTACTGCATCACAAAATGCACTTGTTAATTTATGTGGATACATTGTCTAGTTTTAATGAATTAGTTATAATCGTCCAGTATCTTTATTAGCATGTTTTGCAAGAGTAAAAATGTCTCAAACCAAACCAAACTACACCACTGTCCTTTTGTGGACTTCCACAAAAATCTTGGTGGAGTGACTGGGAAAACCATTGGCATTTTAGTCTGTCTTTAAGAACCCTTTGGACATCTGCTTAGCATTTCTTCAAAGTTGTTATGATGGTGTTAACAGACTGGCATAATATACTGCTTGTTTTCAAAATACAGAAATAATAGGAGATCCAAGTGGAACCATTTTTCTATGGAAACACTGGAAATCCGTTCTTTAAATTTTTTCTTAATACCTGTTTTTAAGACAAATGAAGTGATTATTTTAAGGTAAAATTTTAAAGCACTTCTTACGCTGCCAACATAGAGCTACTGCCTGAAATGCAAAGCCTCTCTATTTTTTGCCTCCTGTATGTTAATGCATACATTTCTAAGACCCAATTGTCTCCCAAATCAAGTCTCATTCAACCCAGTTCAGTTAGAGCAAACCCAAGCCCTGGAGCAAGGTTTCAGGTTTCCATGATAAACATCCTTTATTCTAGTATCATGGACAACATGGTGGAGCTAACCAGTGGCAAATGGGGGATGGAGACTGAATAGCACTGCACCTTCGTAAATCATTCACATCACTTCTGAATGTTTCCGTGTAAACACAAAACTTTGGAGCCAGCTTTACAAAGGATTCACAATATCACATTGCTGACCTTTTATTATGGATTCCAACCGTATTATGGATTACCGTATTGTAACAGCTATCTAACATCTGGCTCTGGGGGCGCACACAGATAGCTACTGCCTACTAGAGATCTTCTGAGTCTTCTCAAAGCACATGTGCCTGATCAGTATTCCAGTACCTCCACCCCACGGTCATCATAGGGCAGAGACACTTGACATTTAGTGCAAAGAGAAATACTACTGCAAAATAGCCATTTCATCCTTTTTTCCCCTACAGATTTATTACTACTCACTTTGTTTCCTCCAGCTAAAGAAACTCTTACAGCACAACCCATTAATGAACCACAAATATTTTGCTCCCAACATCCTTATAATTAGGATGGAGGAAAATCTATTTGTACATATTCATCTTCCATCAGAGAGCATCACAGACAAGTGTCAACCTCTTCATGAAGCTCACATACCAACATCTCTATGAGAGCTAACTATAAAAATTCATTTCATAGTGATCCCTCAACTCACACTATGTATCATTTTATTAAGAAACTCTATAAATGTCAGCAGTGCAATTCATTTTTATTAATTTTCTAAAATGAAATTAGCAGCACCCGCAGCAGCAAACGAAGAATGGGGAATGTTCCAGTTCAGTGCTGGATCAATATCATTAATTCTTTAATACCAAAAGGCCTGTTTATATGAACTCAGCATTTAACTGCACCAATTAATTTCAATATTAAAAAAAAAAATTCAAAATGAACTCAACAACTAATTTAAGAAGGTCCTTGAACAGCCATCACAGCTTTCCTTCTCATGGGACATTATGCTTTCAAGTGTAAACACACAGGAGCAGGATATTGTAATATTAATAGGAAAATTGCTGTTTTCATGCATTGCCTTTAGCAAACTAAACAAACCCATAAAGTCTTAAAACACTTCTACAAAATGTATTTATAATCTGATGCCTTTAATAGTACTGCATATATCCCCTGACTCTGCTTAATATGCCTTCTGATCACTCAATAGTTTGAGTTGGCAAAGGTTCAATGAGAAGTTCTTATATATTAGTTCTATAACTCAGGCTCCCAGGTCAGAAAATAATGTTCTCCAACTGCATCACATTGCCTAGTGGCCTTCAGTGGGTCACAAAAGACAAATAATTTACACAGTCTCCAACATAAAACAGCAGGCCCTGTACACTGTAGATCCAAATCCCTGTACCAACAATGAGAGGCAGACCATATATACTTGAGTCTGGTTGAACTTCCAGCACTGTTCAGGATAATAACAACATATAAAATCCTCTCACCTCTCAGTTACTTCTCAGCCCTAACACATACTACATTTTGATTTACAAAGAGCCTGTTTAATAATATAATTCACGAGAATCTTGAGGCTCCTCTTGTTCTCCAGAAGATGAGGACGAACATCTTAAAAGTTAACACAAGCTGTTTTCTAATTTTCCAAAGAAAGCCATCCAACTGCTGTTGGACCCTCCTTCTTTACCTAAATCTTCCCTTCAGGGATGACCTATTAAACATTCAGCAAATTAATATGTACTATTTGTTATGGTCAATAACAGTTCTCATGTCTTACTATAACTTCTGCCTGTGCTAATTACAAAGGAATGCAATGGCAAACCCAGCAACAAACTACTCCAGGCTCTTCTTGCATTGGTTCTTCAGGGCCCCATTGTGTGTTTCCTGGGGACATCCCCAATGGGAAACATAAGGGAAACTCTCTGCCTTCAAAATGCCATCTTGAATATCCTACACATTGACTTTTTCACTACACAGCAGCCAGCACACAGGAATCCTGGAAGTAGGAGGGCCCCACTTCCAGCTAATCTGACCTCACCTCACAAAAGCCACAAGAAGTCTTCTTTGAATTACCGAGGATCAAGTCATGGCTGAACTGCAACATGAACTAATCAATTTTTCCCTGGCCTCCTATTTGTGATCCAAGTATGAAAATGAACTAGGTTTTTCATCTGCTGCACTGTGAGGAAAGCACAGAACTTAAGCACACATGCAGGCCCTGCTGCTGAGCTAACCCTCCACTGGCTACAAGAAACTCTGGCCACCATCACTGGGAAAGAGGTTGTCACGTAAACAAATGGAAAAATGTGCATCGGGAAACACTTCAGAAATGTACACCCTCACCACAAAAAAGTTCAGTTTTCAGTGGCCAGTAGCACAACTTCATGCCTCTTAACATAAGAAAAATGTCAGAATTCCACAACAGGAAAACATCTGCGGCCTCAACATACTGGCTCCCATGGGGCTAAAGAAGTTAAACATTCATGACAGTTAAAAGAATACATGACATTTACTGCATAATAAACAGCAAACATGACTACTAATTTGGCTTTTTGGGACCACCTCACTGCCAGACACTTAACCCCAACAAGAAATGCCAAAACACAAACAATTGCAAAAACTGCATTTTAAATAGGCAAAACACAAGGGATTTTTTCATTTCTGGCTAGCAGGTTAGTGACAGTAGGGAGCATTGTCAAGATAAATAGCCTTCATTCAACCAAGTCTTTTAAATCCATTCATCTGAAAGCATACAATTAAATGTTAAACTATCAGGTTAAAAGTTTTACCTGTCAAGATTGCAGGTGTTCTATTTTTAATCAATCTGATTTCTTTCAATAAAATGCTCATTAAGTCAATTAATAAGACTTTGGTGTCACAAGTGATCAAGCAAGACTTGAAGTTTTCACTTTGTGGTCAATGAATTGATTAGCAAGTCAAGTAATCAGTGAAAATAAATCAATGTACATTTTCACAAGCTGCAATACTAGCAATGTTACCTTGTTTTAGGGGAAGTCGTTAGCCATTCCTCATGCTTTTCAAAAGTTATTAAATAAGCTGCAATTTCCTGAAAAATAAAACATAGAAGAAAGAATTAATTGGCATGGAACTTTTAGAAACTCAGAAGTTTTATAGAGCCAAGCTCCTCTACACCCAGTCTACTCTCAATAAAGGGACTGCCCAGCAGAGGTCTCTCTCTCCTGCCTCACCTGCTCCATTTGATAGTACATCAATTTTAAAAGTCAACACTGGGGGGGTCTCTCCAGAGTTAGACCCATCTCTCAGGTCTTTAATCCAGGCAGAAGAAACTATACTTTGCCAGGTTGAACTTCCAAGCCCCAAAGCCAAATTATATAAAGCTTAAAAGGAAAAAGCACCAGCATTGTTATTAACCTTTTCTACTACCCTAGAAGCTACTCTGACAACTTCATCTCCAGAGCAGCATCTGAGAGCTCAGTGCTACGTCAGCGATCTAAGAGGAAGCTGGTAGAGGAGGTGCAGGCACCTGAAGGTGAATTAAATATTTATAAACACAACAACATCACTGCAGATAGAATTACTGATTTATTAATAATTTCTATAAAAAGCCAGTGGGTGACATCAATATAAGTCATCGCTCCTGCTTGCAGGCATGATATGGCCCATTACTTCCAGATCAGAAGTGATTTGCTCACAGGAAAATCAGTAGAGAGAGTTTGTAAGTTAAATTAAGATGGTATTGGTAGATGGGTTTCATGAACTTGGCATCACTGCCAAATACTAAATCAATTTCCTTTAGCCTGGAAAAAAAAAACATGATTGAATAGAACATGTGGAACTGTCTTCAGTTAGAACCCTCACAACCCTGGGCACAACACAAGACACTTGTGCAATCCATGGGGAGCAGACAGTAGAGACACCCTGGAGTAGGTCCATATAGCACTGTGCCAAGATGCCTCCCCACCTTCAGCTGGCATCTTCACACACATGCATACCTTTCCTGATTATCCACGGTGTAACAGGGTCCTTCCCCTGGGGTGGCTGTAATGCCCCTAGAGTACCCTTGTCCTCTCTGGTTCCTTAGGGTAATTGCCCCTTCAGCTCGCCTGCCACACCTTGATGTTATTATGACTTCAGAAAAGGAGGCTGCCCCAGGCTCCCCAAGCAAGACAAAGCAAGGTCATGAGCGCCAATGCCACTGTTCATCACCTTAAGGGCTAATCATAGCCTCCAAATCTCCCCTACAGCCATGCCTATGCCTCACAAATGTTACCACCCATCACTTAAGTGGGCAAAACCTCCAGGTCACCCCAGCCTGCACTCCCTTGTTGGGGCCTTGGCCTTCCTGGCCTCCATCCCCCTGCTCTGGCTAGTCCCTTTAGCTTAGACCCACTACACCAGGCCTGGCTTCTTGGGCACAAGCTCCATCTTGCCCTCTCTGGGCTCCCTAGCCATGCACCTGCCCCTCTCTGGGCTCACTCCAGCTCTAATTCCATGCTTCTTTGCACTCCTCTTGCCCATACTAGTTCCAAACCCAAGCCACCTGTCCAATTCAAACAAAAGGTATAAGCACTCAGACCCAAAAGAAACTTCAAGCCAACTGACTGTCTTCCAAGCTTCCCCCTACCTTGGGCTGTCCATTGCAGTAAGCATTCAGTGTCTTACTAGCACTGCCAGGCTTTTCAGGAGTCAGCAGAGCCTCCCACTGCAGCTTTCCAGGGCAGGAACTCTTCACTCAGTGGCTAGCAGGATCAAACTGGCCACATGCTCCAAGGCACAGGCTTTAAAGCTAGGGACAGACATTCAAGAAACCTGAGCCTGAATTGATTCAATCTTTGCAGGTTAGTCTAACCTGGCTAGGCTAAATCAGCTTTGTAACCACACAAACAGCCTAGAAATGCAGGCACATGCCTGCAGTGGCTCAGGCTAGAAGCCAGGAGGCGCTACAGCAGCCCTCCCTTACCTAGTGCTGAGCTGAGGGGGGCATGGCCAGGCCCTGGCAGGACAATGTACCTCAGGAGGGCCCGCCCTCCTTGATAACAGAGCAATTATCAACATTTCATCAGCAGTGGCGGCCCCTCAAATTCAAGGATGACGTCCATCAGACTTGATGGGTCCTCAAGTGACTGAAAAGCCCAATTCTGGATGCACGCTTTCTTTGGCAGTGGGGGCATGTTGTTGCGTGGGGGAGTGGGATTCACAGCTTCGGGTTGGTCTCTTTCTCCTTCCTCCATTGTCACCATTTTGCCTCAGTATCAAGTCATTGGGCCTCAAAGTGGCGCATGCCTTGGTGGACTAGGTGGCACCATGCCAAATGGCTAGCATTTAACACCCTATAAGAAAACACAGCCTCACTCACTACAAGCTTTTTCCAAAGGAAAATGCATACCAGCCTCTGGCTTCTTTACTATTCATTCCATCCAGGAAGAGCACACACCAACTGCATATGCTTCCTCAGCCTGATAAAGGGCTTTTAAACCCAAAAGCTGACTAAATTTTTTTTTCCACCTATCTAGTTGGTCTAATAAAAGATATCAGATTTACCCAAAGACCCTTGTCTGCCTTTTCCAAAGGAAGGAATGCAGGGACATTATCATCTGAGCTGTTGATTACCTCCAAAAAGCCCTAAGCAGTCACTGTCCTATCTGCCTTACAAAGCATAAGCTAGCATACCACTTGCTGGCTGCAGTCCATGCTGTGGGAGAGAGGAGGAAGGGATCTTTGCTTAAGCAGTGACTGGTGAGAGGGGAGGGACAGGGGCACAGGAAAGCCAGCAGACCCTGCTGTGCCTGCAAGACTCTGCCGGAGCTCCAGCCAGGGAGCAGAGGGAAGGGGCCAACTCTGCTGTGGAGCAGAGCCCCGCCCAGAGAGCATGCCGGGATGCTGGAGGTGTCTGATTTAGCTTAAACCAGCAAAGGGCCTGGGACAGAGGACAGACATTGCATAAACCAGTTTGACCCAAATCAGTTAAGTCTGATACTACATTGAACCTAGTTTATCTCAAACTAGTTTCAGCCATTTTCAAACAGGTTTATGTGCACTGAATATTCAGTGCACATAACCAGTTTCTGATCACTTAAACCGATTTACGTGTAATGTCTGTCCCTAAACTAAGAGGGTACTAAGCCTTACCCCATCTTGTCATGTGATGACCTCTGTGTCTGATGACATGCCTGCTCTCCCTGCTAGAACTGAGGTCATCTGTTTGCAGCCCCTTGTTTCTGGGCTGACTCCCTGACTGTCCTTGCTGCATTCTACTGCTCTGCCTCCCTCCCCTGGGTGAATTACCTTCCCCTAGTTAGCCTCTCCCTGTGCCTTGCACCCTGGTCTGTCTGCTGGCAGCCATTTCATTAGCAGCTATCTTGTTTCCTAGCTGCTAGTCCTCCCTGATTCAGCTCAACCTGGTACTCCTTCATTTTAAACTAACAGGAGCCTTCTGGCTTCCTGTTACACATCGGAATACAGGAAAAGCCAGACTGAATCATTCCACAAGCCTCTGCCCCCTACAGTGTCTTGGCTTGGAGAGAGAGGCCTGCATCAGCTGCTTCGGAGGAAGGTAAAGCCACCCCTAGTTAACAGTTATGGGATAGCCTGCCCATACAAGATATGCCTGCACAGCCTTGCTGATTCAGTTCTGGAAAGAGATTTTTCTACAATTCTGGATGATCTCATGCATTTTAAAATCTCACTTAATCTGAAGACGTTTAACCCCGAGAAATATGAAGTGCTCCACCTGGGAAGAAATAATCCGCAACACATTTACAGGCGTGGCGGTGCTACACTTGCTAGCACCATAACCAAAAGAGACCTGGGGGTCGTGATACCCCATAGATTGAACATAAGCCACCAATGCGATGTCATAGCCAGCAAAGCAAATAAGACACTGGCATGTATCTATCAATGCATCTCAAGCAGGACTAAGGATACTCCTACTCTACTCAGCTTTGGTAAGGCCGCAGCTAGAGTACTGCATCTAGTTCTGGGCGCCGCACTTCAGGAAGGATGTGGAGAAGCTTGAGAGTCCAAAGGAGGGCTACGCATATAATTAGAGGTCTGGAGAGCAGGCCATATGTGGAGAAGTTGAGAGACATGGGACTGTTCAGCCTGGAGAAGAGAAGACATAGAAGGTACTTGGTGGCAGCCTATAAGTACATAAGGGGTGCACATCAGGGCCTGGGGGAGCAACTTTTTCACCAAGGCACCCCAAGGGAAGACAAGGAATAACGGTCACAAATTGCTAAAGGATCCCTTTAGATTGGACATAAGGAAAAATTTCTTTATGGTCTGAGTGTCCAGGGTCTGGAACAGACTTCCCTTAGAGGTGGTACAAGCACCTACTCGAAATCTTCAAAAAACCATCTGACGCTTACCTTCCTGGGATCAT